CTTTAATTCATCTTCCCTTTCCTGTTCTCGCCGCTTTAATTCGTCTTCCCTTTCCTGTTGCTTAATTTCATATTCTTGTCGCCTAATTTCATCTTCTTTTTGTTGGCGCTTTATTTCTTCTCTTCCACTAACTATTCTTTTTAATAATTCCTTCACAAACTCCTCTTCGTACTCCGTACTTGCCAATATAATCTTCTTTAATTCGGTAACTCTCATGTCTTCCGTTGCCGTTTCTCCTAACTCTTCCGCCAAACACTTCAAATCTACTTTTAAAGCTCTTCCTAAAAATGCCATTTTTCACCTACTACTTTCTAAACTGCACCTTCTTACAAAAAAAAATGCCACTTCCTAAACCAATTTCAAGACAATCTAAATAACTCACTATCTTCCATCAAACAACTTGAAATTCATAGAACAAACAACTACCAATCTTTTATTTCGAAATCCATTGGGGTTTCCCCGCACATTTGTCAGTCGTAACCTTTTACAAAAGAAATAACGCAAAATTCTACAAAAACTAATTCACCATTTTATTATTCTTTTTCATCCATTGTTCCAAAACCAAAACAAGAAAAAATGATCATATCTATAATATCAAGCTTTTAGCTCGCAACATCAGAAAATGCGTGTTATTACATCACGTGACCCTGACAGCACCATTCAAATTTCTTATATTATATAAAATATATCAAGAATATATATAAAAAAGTCTGAAATATGTGTAAAATATATCAGGATTTTTAAAAACCATATATAAATTAAGATCAATCATTGTCAAAAAAATAGTAACACCATATGGATTTATCATGACATTATCTTAAATTGAGCGAGTTAAAAAGTAATTAGATATTGAAATACACGATACGAATTCTGCATGTCAAAATAATATTAAATGAGAAAAACTACATGGAAATCCATAGCAATATCTGCCAAAAAGTTTAAAGAAACTGGTGGAATCACTGCATCTGAGGTAAAATAATCAAATGCATGTGTCGCGATAATATTAGTGTTTTAAAAAAATAATAATTAGAATATCAATAGTAATAACTGTGCAATCAAAGACATCGGGATATTAAAAAACAAATGAAAACTCGTAGCAATAGTTTCCAAAAAAAATTTACAAAACACTACATATATTTACAATGGAATCTGCATGAACTGTGAGCAATAAAATGAAGAGTCAAAATTTTAGTGGCTAATATTATATTAAAAATAATAAATAGATTTTATTTCAACCAAGTAAAAAAAGGACTACAATGATTTGTTAATTTTTTGCTTATTATATAATGATTTATTTAATACAAATCTGAATTTGTAACAAAATTCCAACTCACAATCATATTTTACTAAAATATAAAATAAAATGTTTTTTAAAAAAATTTCTAGAGCGAACTATTTTTAAAACTTTGGTGACTTCAAAATTGCTTTTTATAATATTAATTTCAAATTCTAGCTAAAACAGGGCATTACAGAATTTTTTTACTCTCAAAGAAAATTAAAAAAATTAAGAGCATGTCTTCCCCCTCTGACGTGTGAGAAAGAATACTACAGAAAAGAAAACAAAATATTGTTCTAAAAATTCTGCTGAAAAAATAAACCTTTCAAAAAATTCTGCAGAAAAGAGAGCAAAACTTTTTTGCTTCCCAAATAAAAAAATATTTCTGCAAGATTTCTGTAACGTTCTGCGACAATGTCGCTGTGTCACCGTGATTCTGCCACTGGAGTCTCTAGAAGGAAAAAATATAATGATCTGCGATATTGAGTGACATTGAATTATTCTAACTCTATATCCATCTCTTAATATGGACATTTATAATGATTCAATCCATTACTGAACAAAACAAAGAATTTAAAAAAAGATTATGAGTTAGATTTGAAATCAAAGTTTCTAATTTAGACTCATCAAATACTTGCATTAAGGAAAAGTAGCCATGTAATCTGGTATTCATTCATTTTCATTTTCTTTCCTACTTTTCATGTAGAAAAAAAAAATATTTTATTTCCTTTAAAATTTATATTCAATTTCGCCTACATATATATGCTGGTGCGCTATTTTTCAATTTTTCTAGATATAAAATCCCGAGTACGTATTGGAAATACTTTTCATATCCCATAATGGTTTTTGGTGCATTTGATGCAGATAATAAATAAAAAATGCATATTGCATGCAATAAAAATCACTCCATAAATTCAATTTAGAGTACTATATTTTCTGAGAAAAAGTTAAATTCTAAATTAATAAATAATAGTTGTTAAATTCTTGAAATGTTAGAAATTTCATACAGATGAAGCTATGAAAATTGAACTATTCCACTAGAGAGCTGGCTTTCTATAATGATTTTAAAATTACCATAAAGTCAATAAATCATCATTAAGTAATGTTTGGTGCTCTGATGCATGGAATATATCTCTGAAGATGAAGATGAGCAAGAAGTATCACTTTATTTAAATTTTAAACTAAGTATTAGATCAATCAAATAGTTCATTTTGAAGGTTTTTCATATTTTTCAGGGCAAACAAACTAATTGAAGTGAAATTATAATTTTTTGCAGCCACATGCTCTTATAATTAAGAACTAGCAAACGTTTATCCTTTTTTCTAAATTTTGAAGAAGTTTTGGAGCTATTAAGTCTTAATTTTGTGTTTTGCCGAAACTCATTAATATAATCCAACCTTAAAACTTAAAAAATATTTCAAAATCTTTCCATAATTTAGATCATAACTTTTTCAAATAGTCTACTTTCATTTAAAAAAAAAATAATGAACTTTTTTTATCACAAGACTTAATATTCATATTTATATAAGCTGATGCTTGGAGAGTTTTAAATTTTCACCACAGCTCCTTCGTTTTAAGTAAAGTTGTCTCCCCTTTTTTATTTGGTAAAATATAAATTTCATGGTAAGCTCAAAAGACAAGAAAAAAAATCGCCAAATATGTTTAGAAACTAAGTATAAAAATAAAAGAATAAAGCTTGAGTAATGAAATTATGATAAAAGTGAACAAAGTTGTTGTAAAAACTATGTTGGAAAAATATAATGAGTAGGGAATAGAATACACCAACAATCTGTATATTTAAAAATAAAAATTAAAAAATAAACAGCTGTCAAACATAAAATTTAGATATAAATTTCATTAAAAGATTGTTACATACTGCATTTAGAATATAAAAGTCTGAAATAATTTAAATAACTTACCATTACAAACCATACACCTAGAATAACATTTTTAGGCAAGTTAGTCCAAAAGCCCCATAGTAAAATACCATTGATTATATTAGGAATCCAACTAAAGCAATAAAAAGAGAAAATAAAATTTATTACTTTTTCAAATATTTAAGCAATCAGGACATTTTTTTTAAGTATAAAGCTAATAAAAGTTAGACACACTGCTTTAAAAAACCTCATTTTATTTTAGTCTAAAAACCTGCAGGAACCTTGTAAGTTTTAAAATTCAAACCTAGCTTCTATTTTAAACTTTAAAAAAAGCTTAGAAGCAAAAAGTTTCTGTTACTTTTACTAAATAAGGACTAGATAGACAATAAATTTACATTTAACACATGCTGATGTGATAAGTTTTCTGTTTACAAGCGCTTGGAGAAAAAAAAACTGTAATTATGAATTGCAGACTTTATTATGAATATTAATGAAATATATATGATGAAATATATATAATGAAATATATATGATATTAATGAAATATTAATGAAACATAAAAATAATTTAAACATATAGGAAACCCTCACATTAAACTAAAATGTAAAATATATAAAGTTGCAGCTAAAAGTTAACTCTAAAAAGTGAATTGAATATTATTTGGCTTAAATATAGTAAAACTTACCAAACATAAAATACTAAGACAATGCAGAAAAACTTTTCCTTCAAGGCAGCGAGTAGATTGTGTTCTAAATAAGTTAATTGACCAAGACCTCCGGTAAGCAAGACTCTTACTAAAAAAATGATAGATACAAAATATAAAATAACTCATTTCTATAAATAGAAACTTCATATGGTTACAATAAGCCATATGCTAGCTATATGCTTTTAAAAAAAATAACTATACAGTTACATAACATACATAAAATTAAAATACATTTACACTACAAAAATGTATACTAATTAAATGATCGCAAAAAAAACATATGCAGTAGAAGATCTATATAATGCAATTCTGTAGACCATGATTCTCCGTAAACTTCACGAACTATAAAACAAATTCAAACTAAACAATTTGTCGGTTGTTAGTTCTAAAGCACTTCATAACTAATTTAATTTACAATTAAATTTTTCTTCCTGTAAATAATAAATAACTTTACTGTGAATATATATAACTTGTAAAAAAAAAAGAAAATTATGTACAAAGGAAGATCTATATAATACAATTCTGTAAACTGCATTTCTCGACAAACTGCATTAACTTAACAATCTTTAAAACAAACCAAAGCTAAAAAATTTGTTAATTGTTATGCTCTTGATAATTAAATTTTTTCCCTTAAATAATAAGTAACTTTAGCACTTATTTTCACATTTTAAAGCATCTGTATTAAAAAAATTACTTTAAAGCAGTGGTGTTGACATGTTCCATAGACACTAGATTGCTATGTTTAGGCAAATGATTCATATAGCATAATTAAATTAATGATTTATATAATTAAATGATTTATATAATTAAATGATTTATATAATTAAATGATTTATATAAATAATTGATGATACAACATAAAATTCTTTATAATATAAAGTCTGACATTTCAAGATTTGCATTATAAAGATATTCTTCTTTATTTATTTCATAAAATGAAAAGTTTGCAATCTGCTACAAAACATAAGTTTAACTTGATTTACTAGTATTTTTGTGAAATAGTATTTAACCTCTCCCGACACATACTTCACTAGAAGTAGTTACAAATTGCAAACAACAATATTCAACTCCCTTCTAAAAAAAGTAACATAGAAATACAAACATATATCTCACCATTTTTAGAAGATATATAATACAATATAGGATTAACAATCATGACACACAGAATAGGAACATAAGACAACATGTAGTTAGGTAACACTCTGTAAACTCCATTATGGCAGCTGAAATTGTAAAGAAAAAAGATAAAATTTTAAATTCGATTGAGTGAAAAATCACATATCTCTTAATAAAACCATTTCAAAAAGTCCATAAAATTTTCTAAACATTAAAAATGACATTTTTAAACTAAGAAAAGTTTCACATGTTCTTAAAAAAAAAATTTGCATTTAATTTATAACATAAAACTTATACATAATACAGAAATAAAAAAGATAGAATCAGATGCAATGTAAAATATTTGGTTTATTTTTGTATATTGGTCTAAAAATATGGATGAATTTTTCTATTTTGTTGACTGACATAAAATATGACAGCCATAAAGTTTCTGTTTTTACTCCCAACAGATATGGGGTGCCTTTTTAATGCCAGAAAAACCAAAAGTACTTATTTTAGCAAAACCGAATCAGATTGTAATTTTTGGTAAGTAAATACTTTAACACTGCTTGATTTGAGGAGAATCCTAGATCAGAATTCAAACTCAATAATAATAATAAAAATTTTTAAACCTTAATTTTATCTAAGTTTTTACAATGCATCAACAAGCAACACACACCACACACACACATAAAAAAAATTTTCTTCTAAACCATTGACAACTTGTTTGGTTGAAAAACATTTTGCAGAAGTAAATTATATTTAGAACTATAAATCTTGTAAAAATAATTAAAAATTTACAACACAGTAATTACTTATCATATGTAAGATATCCAATCCTCTACAAGAAAAATTGTGGTATTTTTCTCCACAATGCCCATGGGTAGGCAAAACAAATAAATAGAAAAAAAATTCTCATATTGTAGAAATTATATTTTTAAAGATTACCTTAGATTTATATAGATATATATATATAGAGAGAGAGAGAGAAGGGGGGGATGGAAGAGAGAGATAAGAATAAACAGATATTAAAATGATATTGACATAAACAAACAATTAACTGTAACTTCAAATGGGCAACTTACACCACAGATTGCTTCGTAATAACATTAGAGTTATTAAAAATTATTTTAGGTAAAAATAGGTAAATGGATAAAAATCGGGGCTTAAGTAGCACTAAATTCTTCTTTTCAAAAAAGAAGAAAATAAAAATACTAGTTAGCTTCTGAAAATTAATAATCTCTAAACCATAACTCTTAGATATCTTTTATACTGACTACTATACATTATTATGCAAGTGGTATTTATGTAACTAAATCATAACAAATTTTTGGCATGGTAAAAGTTTCAAATTAAATGTTGTGAAATTACAAAATTTTATAGTTTTATTAACCACGAAATCTATAAATCAAAACATACAGGGTATTTTTCAATACAAATCTATGTGTTTTTAATGTAGTAATACAAAATATACATACGTACATAAAATTAGGCAAGTATAATGTCCCCAAACCAATGAAAGACATAAAAACAGATGTAGTCCAAGTAATAACATGATACAAAATTGGATTCCTATATGAATAGAATAGATGTCAGTGCAACAAAATAATAACTATTGACATCAGAATAACTCAGAAGTTTATTAAAACAAAGGAAATAATTAATCACAACATATTCAATAAAGTAAGATATTAATAAAGAATTCAATAAAGTAAGCAATCATTGATTGATCATCTCAAGTAATCTATACATATATGGTGCAGTTTAGACACAATTGGCAGCTATATTGAAGTATTCAAATTTTGTATTAAAAGATTTTAAGAGAGAGAGTACCCTCCAACATTTATAACATACTTAATGGTCAGGGAAAATAGTGATGCAAATTTTTCACGAGTTGAAATTTTGCTAAGTTCTTAAATTCAATTCAGAATCCTGCATTTCAGTTTTTGTGAAAAATATTTAAAACCATAAAAATTACTTTTTTCTAAATCTAACTCTATGATATTGTCACAGAGAAAGAATGGAATTTAGTCTGACAACTTGAACAGGTTTATTAACACACTTCTAGAATACAAAGAACAAGTTAACTGACATTTCCACTTGAAACACGTGAATTGGTTTACACTACAATAAGGAAATAGAAATGATGAAAGGAAAAGTTCTAGAAACTTAAAAAACTATCTATAAATAATAATTAAAAACTATATATGTACATACATATTACATATTCACAAATGTACAATTATATATGTACTATGTACATATTTACATGCCTTTGATTTCCTGGTAAAAATTTATAGGAACTTGCAAAGTAGAACTACAGACTTCCAATTTCCAGGTTTAATAATATTTTTACAAAAACTTTTAAACAAACTAATTTCTGCTTAAAATTATATTTTCTACAAATATTGCAGCCTAATAAAGGGAAAGCTAAAAAATTTGTAAACTTCACTATCTAATTTTCAATAATTGTAAAAATATATTTTAATAAAAAAAATAGAAAGATTTACATCTACAAAATAAAGTGAATGCTTCCATAGTTATGATTATGATGTTCCATGGTGAAAAGTGTGAACAAAAAGAAATAAGACCCTGATTTGATTGTAGATGTAAGAAGATGCATGTTTCCAACTTAATAAAAAAAAACACCTCAACTTTTCAGAGTTTATGGATGAAAATAGATCAAAAAGCGATGTGACCTTCATAATACAAATATTTTAATTATTTAGTGTGAAACCTACCCTAATTACTTTGGATAGCGCTATAGAACCCAAAAAATGTGCTCTAGATGAAAATATGTAACTCTGGTAAATTATTGGATGAAAATAGTGAATTTGAAACATTTTCTCCAGCCAAAAGAGTAAGTGGGAGACCATTTTGGTTTAGACATATAAATCAGGGCTCGAAAAAACTCAGAAATTTTACCCGTCCCCGAGGACGGCTTGTCCAATAATGTACCCGTCCTCCTTTGAAACTAACCCGTCGTTTCTAAATAAATAAAAATATAATTTTCTCTTATTTATTACAAACATTTATATAAATTGCACAATGAATTAGTAGTTACTACGATTACATTATACAGTAATAAAAGAAATACTAGGTTTCTAATAGTAAAACCTAGTATTTCTATTATGAAATAATTTATTTCTTTGATGAAATAATTTAAATAACAAAAGTTAAGTTATCTGTCAATTATCATGTCAATTTATCCGATGGTACTGCGTTTTTTAAATGAATCAAATATGACGTTTGCCAGTTCCACAATCAAGCCAATGATTTACAGAGGTTTCTGCACAGAAATCTGAAAGAGGTTTTCCATTTAGGTAGATGTTCATAAATGCGTTTAACGCTTCTTGTTTAAGACCAGTAAATATTGTGTTTTTTTGTAAGTTCTTTGCTGAAAAGTCCCTTTCAACCGCTGCAGTAGTCCCAGACAGAGAAAACATCAATTCCACCATGCTCAGTATGTTGCTGTATTTCTAGATTAGAGGGTCATTTTAGAAGTGAGGCGCTAGACTCTTGTAAGATAACAAAAATTGAAAATGTATCACGAACATTAACGGGAAAATGGCCGTCCGTGCAGACGCTGGATTCGAGAAATTTGTTGTCCGCGGGGAATTTTTGACCGCCGAGGACGGGCGGTTTTTCGAGCCCTGATATAAATCAAGCACTTTTGTGCATGCAGATTCACAGTTACCTAAAGGACAGGAAAATATATTCAAATTTGCTGTACAGTGTTATGGAAGTTCTACTGAAAATACCAGATACTAGGTAAAATTAGTAAATACCACTCTATATTTAGAAATTAAATTTTAAAAAATAGTCCTGAAAATCAATTAAAATATCCTCATTTAATAAGAAAGTTAAAACAGAAGTTTATTTTATTAAAAAATTAAATTTCATACTGAATCGGTAACATAAAATTAATAAACTAATTCTAAAGGAATAGATGAAAATGGTTAACATACCCACTCTTTTGTTTGCAAACAAGAAAGACATCTATGGCATATAACAAAGTCCACATATAAGTTGCAGTGTAGAAAATACGAATCCACAACTAAAAAATTTTTATAAGAAAAGTTAGATACCTTTAATAAGTCATCATTTCTTTTATTAAGATTCAAAACACAATGGCAAAATGAGAGCTGATAAGAATAGTGGCTTATTCTAAAGTTTGATGAATATATGCAAGTTTAAACATATTTTTATCTATCCCATTTTTTAATGTTAAATATCATTTGCTATGTTTGTGAAATAAATTATTAACGTATAAAAAATCTTACAAAATATTTTTTAAGTGTTACTAATAGAGATATAGTGTTTATAAAACAAGAAAGGTAAAATTTTGTACATCTTACAGTATAACAAGTTATAACAGATAATACAGTAACTCAAATTAGCAAATAGTTACAAGTTTAGAAAAATAAAAAATATGCAATGAACTTTACCGCAAAGACAGCACATAGTATAATATCTACATGACTTTCCAGTATCATACTTCCCCTCCAAAGCCAGAACATGGATCGTAAAAGAATACCTGTAAGAAATTAAATAATTACAAATTTTAATTGAAATATTTAACAACTATGATCAAAAATATATTTTTAAAAAAATCATTTATAACCTTATGTTTATACATAAACAATTGGATACTATAGCTTTTAAAACAAAAACTATAGTTTTAAATGTTTTGTAAGTAATTTGTTACTTGAATTTTTTTAAACAATGGTTCAGGATTGTATGTATTGCAGAAAAGTTCACTTTGATGAAATTACTCTTAGTTTGATAAAGCTAGTAAAACTGACAATCTAGGTGTATGATCTAATCAGTAAGCAAATCATTATAAATATTTTATTTCATAACCATTATTGAACAGTCGACCCAATTTAGGGTTTACGACTACTAATATATGAGCAATTTTCTTCAATTATTTTATCATCACAGCAGGGTTTATTTAAATTAAATTAAATTATTATTAAAAAATTTTCAAAACACTTGGGTTTTATTGAAAAATCCGGGAGAAAATTTGGTTTTTTCATTTAGTGCTCTTAAACTTTAAAGTTTTACATTGTAAATATTTTTATTTTTTAAATAGTGTAGTACTACAAGCTTAAAAAAAGAAATAAATCCAAAAAGTTCATATAAAATACATATATATAACAAAATTAAAATTAGTTCAAATAATGCACTATCACTAATACGTATTTGAATCTTCTTTATTGTTACATACATAATGTTTCACAATTTTTAACTCAAGCATTATAAAATATAAATCCAACAGTAATTTAAAAGGTACAAGTTTAATAACCTTTTGTTTTCACACACATTTATTTACTATATTTATTAAGGATATGTGTATATATAGTAAAGAAAAAAAAAATTGGCAGAAATTTTGTGGAAACTTGGAATTTTTTTCTCTTTTTTTGCCATAATTTTCCACCATTTTTGTGATGGAAACTGTTGAATAACAGAGTCATGCATCATTGATTTTGGGAAGAATTCAGGATCAGAAATTCTGGATGATGCTTAGAGAGCCAGTCTTCTGCTAATTGCTCTTGTTCATCATTTAAAAGTTGTCCTCCTGTTTTGGGATCCATGATGTATGCTAATAAATGAGGTGGCTGAGCAGCTTGGTGGAATCTTTTTACAAAATCTTGTTTATGTGGTTCTAATTCATCACAGGATAGTAAGTTAATCCATATTTCAACAGCTTCTGAAACTGAGGTGTTTTCTGATAGAAGCTTTTTCAAAGCTTCAGAAACAATTGATAACTGTTTTTCCAAATTAATATCTTCTTGGTAAAGCCCAACATTATTTAATATTTTTGACATATTTTTATTGAATTCATTTTGATGTTCAAGAGCAATCTCATGATATTTATGTTAATTATTGACAAAAATTTTTACACAGTCACAATATGAGCTCCACCAAGTATCATTTGGTAACTGGGGCATTAAGCAGATTTTTTCATTTGCCCATCCATGTGCTTGATGCAGATTTTCTTCCACTTCCGATTGCTTTTTGCATTTCTTAAAAATAAAAAGCTTTAAGACCAATCCTAAACTGAATTCAAATTCACTATGAAAGAAGACTCTCTAATATCAGATATTTTGTTTAGGAATGTTAGTAGATTTGCTCTGTATCAGCATCAAAATCAAAATTGAACTTAACCTGCCTAGACATGACAAAACTTGATTTAAGTAAAGAAAGAGGGGTGTGTCAGTGACAGTCCCTTTACTTATACAATAGATATTTTTATGCTTAAAAAAAAAAAAACATTTTTATACAAAATGTTTATATGAATTAAAAATGATATCAATATGTAGTAATTGGAAGAAATATATGTATTCAATGAAGTTAATTTTAAGTTCTAATCTCAGTTTGATTAAATTTTTAGTTTAAGTAAGAAAAAAGAGTAATTATACTATGAAGTCATAAAATTTCAGCTTCTCTTTGTATTTATAAAAAATTGTTTACTGTTCAAATTAATTTGTTTACTGTAATACATGTATGACAATGCAACAGCATTTTTAAAATTTATGCCTACACATTAAATTATTTAAATTTAAACGTGCGTTAATATTTTTTATTAAAAATATTTCCTTGAAAAAACCTGTTTAGTGCTATAACAGGTAAAAAAAATTATATCTTCAACTTCCTTTATTAGTTTTTAAAAACCTGTTTATTAATCATATAAAGCAAGCAGCTGCATTTGAAAAATTGATCCTTACAGACTATATTATTTAAATTTCAATGTGATTTCATTTCATTAAAATATTACTTTTTGAAAAAATCCGCTTAAAGTTAGTTTTCAATAGTAATATAAAATTATAGATTTGAGTTTGTTTTACTTTACGAAGATTAAAAACTTAATCATATAAAGCATGTCACTCTATTTGACAAACTCATGCAACACAATAAATTACATAAAACTAAATGTGCATTAATAAGTCTTAATCAAAAAAAAAATTTATTTTTTTTAAAAGCCCACTTAGCATTTTCAAGTGTGTTTTTTTAAAGTGGACGCACCCAATAAAATCCGGGCAGGGTTTTTTCAAAGTGAGCCCACTTGGCGAACCCTACATCACAGTGGCATTGTCAGTGATGATAGCATGAAACTTTTCTGGACATATATCTTTAAGAAATTTCTCATACTACACATTTGGTCTGATGTGCAATGCTTTTCTTCTGTTGCTAATGTGAGATTAATAGCTTTATTTCCTATATAATATTCTAGTTTATGTGAATATTCTTGAGGATATTATGGAGAATTTTACATTACTAGTAATATTATATGAATATAATAAATCAAAAAAAAAAAAAATTTAAACAATAAACTGATAACTTAATTTTCAGTAATATTACCAGAAGCAGCAAAGAAATCTGCCATTGCCAACCAATTGATAATAGCTTTTTGTATCACTCCAATGCTCCGGTGACGATGAGGAAGAGAAGATACAGCAGAGGGTAAAACCTGATAGACAGCACCAATCATTCCAAGAAGGGAAGATATAATACAAACAATATTGTAAGGTATAGATTGAAATGGCAGGCGTAGTAATAACTCAGGTTCTACTTGTACTGACATGCAACAAAAAGTTTCTAAAGTAGCAGAGGCCATTTCGGAAACTAAATACATACATAAATAAACATCATTAGATACAAAAAGATAAAATATTCCAGTAAATTTAACTAAATTTTAAAAATAATTTTATTTTTCTAAATAAAAATAAGAATTTACACAATATTTATCATTTAAATTCATTTTTTTAGATGATATTAGTATTTTTAATACGCACAAAAAGAATTATAAAGAAGAAATGAGTTCACTTTACAATTAATATAAGTTTTTTCATACATTAATTCATGAATTGACAATATCGAAAACAAATATGACGATATTTAAAACTATTTTTTTTAAATATTTTCTTTGTCATAAATGTGAACAAAAATAATATTATCAATCAACAAATAAACAATTTCTCCTAATGATAATAATTTTCAATGTTAGTTTTAAAAAAGAAGCAACTTTAAAATAGTTAAAATTAAGTTTTACCAAAAAACCAACTAAGTTTATGTCTCAACTAATTTTTCAGCATTCAATCCTTTTATTCAATAGATAATTTTTTTTCTAAAATTACCTTTCAACAAAATTCTATGATCTCAAAATGAATTCAGCATCAACATCAATATTAATTAAAACTTAATGTTAATAAAAAATAAAAAACTAAATTTCATAGTTTATACATTCTTATAACATTTCATTTTAGTAACATTTCTTATAACATTTCTTATAACATAAAATCATATGTAGTATATCAAAAGTCAGACTAATTCATTTAAGCAAATTAATTTGACTTTAAAAAAACGCATAATGCTTTTAAAATATATTTAACATATTATTTCAGCAATTCATGAAACAAATTATTATAAATAGAAACAGCACACATGAACAAATAAAGACATCTTATATCCATTAAAAATCAATTTATAAGTGCAGAAAAAATTAACAAATTCACAAAGAGCCCTAAATCAAACAGATTTTAAATCAACCTAAAGTTTTACAATTTAAATGAACTTGAAACAATATCGAAGAAAAAAAAATTTAAAGCCACTCTAACATAGTTTTCATCAGGAAAGAAAATTATTAAGAATTGATTTACATTCTTTAAAATAATAAAGCAACCAATATTATTTGATTTCATAAAACAAAAATTAGTTCTAATAGTTATCAATAATAATTTTGAAACACTGGAAACAAAAAATAGCCCATGACAAAAGAGAAATTTTACCTCAGTTGTTATAAAGTAATAAAAATTATATAATATGCCTAAAAGTTTCTCTTATCATTCTCAAATGGGCTTTTAAATATAAAATTAACAAAGAATGAATGCTAATACATCTTAAAATGGTTAGATAACACCTGGAATTTCCAGTTTTTTTTCTCTTTAAACAAAAAATGTTACATAAGTACAGCGACCTTGGAAAAACATGCTGTTATAATTCTGAAAACACAAAACATACCAATTAAAATTTTTTCAATTCTTAATATAATGCAGATCTTAATAATTCTGCTAATAATGAAATAATTGAAAAAATAAACAAAATAAATATTAAAAGTAATCCCGATATAAACATAATAAGAACTGTATTGCTTTTTAATACAAAAATCACCATATATAATTAAATATTCAAAATTAAATGAAATTTCCAAATCAAAGTTAGATATATTTTAAATTTTTTTACACTGATATGAATATAATGAATGAAAGAGGGATAATTGTTTCAATAACTTACACTTGTAACATTAAAACTGACACCGGAACCAATTTACTATCTAAATCAAAACAAAAACAAAAGCACGAGATGTCGTCAGAGTTTCATAGATAAGAGGAACCCGCAAGAGGAAGTGAAAGTCCTATCTTCCCGGTGGCAACGAAAAATGGGTTACTTTTTTCAATCAGTGTGGCGACTTTTTCTATCTGTTAAATCGCCACATCGCCAGTGTTCGTGTGCATGTTTTTTGTTGTTAATTTCACGTGTCGAAATTTTACTGCATGGAGTAGAAATCTAATCTGTTGTGGTAAGTAAAAATTATTAATATGTTAGTTTTATACATTTATTTTTAACTAATTAAATTTTAAAACATTGCATGAATGTTAATATATTACGTTCTATAAAACGTAAACATCTTTCACGTGTTATTTTCCATTGAGAATGAATTTTATAATTCAACTTTACTAGAAATTTATTTTTATATGCATTAATTGATTGAGCGGTTATTGTTTAAAACATTTGTTGGATAATTTTTGATAACCTAAAAATGTTTTCATATTGGAATATTTATTCTGTTTAAAATATAAATGTTTTGATCATTAAGAATGTTTTAGTTAAATCAGCGGTAATATAGCAAAAATGAGCTTGCATAAATTTTTGGAAATTATATAGTCTGTTATTTATGTATAATAATAAATGAACTTATATAGAGAGAAATGCTTGTGTGTTGTACTGTTTGTCATTAAAATTAAGGTACGATGCTAAAATTTATATAATGTCTAGTTTATAATAAGGAATGTTGAAATATGAAGGTTGCATTTTTTAGGATAGCTGTATTAAGAAGATGTGGTGATTA